TTGCTTCATTGTTGGTGTTTAAAAATGCAACCGATTGCTGTAAGTTGATTTTGTACCCTGCAACTTGGCTGAATTCTTGGATCAGTTCTAGTAGGCTTCTGGTGGAGTCTGTCAGGTTTTCTATGTAGAGTATTATGTCATCTGCGAAGAGTAAAAGTTTGACTTCCTCTTTGCCAATTCTGATGCCTTTGATTTCCTTTTGTTGTCTGATGGCTGATGCTAGGACTTCCAGCACTATGTTAAACAACAGTGGTGAGAGTGGACATCCCTGTCTTGTTCCTGATCTCAGGGGGAAAGCTCTCAGTTTTTCCCCGTTGAGGATGATGTTAGCTGAAGGCTTCTCATAGATGGCTTTGATGATGTTTAAGTAGGTTCCTTCTATCCCGACTTTCTCGAGAGTCTTTATTAAGAAGGGATGCTGTATTTTGTCAAATGTTTTTTCTGCATCTATTGACAGGATCATATGGTTTTTATGTTTTCTTTTATTGATATGATGTATCACACTGATTGATTTGCAAATGTTGAACCAGCCCTGTAACCCAGGAATGAATCCCACTTGATCTTGGTGGATGATTCTTTTTATATGTCAGACTTTAGCCTCTACTACAAAGCTGTCACCATCAAGACAGTATGGTATTGGCACAAAAACAGACACATAGACCAATGGAACAGAATTGAGAACTCAGAAGTGGACCCAAAAGTATACAGTCAACTGATCTTTGACAAAGCAGGAAAGAATATCCAATGGAAAAAAGACAGCCTTTTTAATAGATGGTGTTGGGAGAACTGGACAGCAACATGCAGAAGAATGAAACTAGATCATTTTCTCACACCATCCACAAAAATAAACTCAAAATGGATAAAGGACCTGAATGTGAGACAGGAAACTATCAACACCCTAGAGGAGAAAGCAGGAAACAACCTCCTTGACCTCCACCGCAGCAACTTCTTACTTGACACATCCCCCAAAGCAAGGGAATCAAGAGCAAAAATAAACGATTGGGACTTCATCAAGATTAAAAGCTTCTGCACAGCCAAGGAAACAACCCACAAAAGTAACAGGCAACCAACGGAATGGGAAAAGATAGTTGCAAATGACATATCAGATAAAGAGTTAATATCCAGAATCTATAAGGAACTCACCATACTCCACACCCGAAAAACAAACAACCCAGTGAAGAAATGGGCAGAAGATATGAACAGACACTTCTCCAAAGAGGACATCCAGATGGCTAACACACACATGAAATGATGCTCAGCATCCCTCCTCATCAGGGAAATACACATCAAAACCACACTGAGATACCACCTCACGCCAGTCAGAGTGGCTAAAATGAGCAAATCAGAGAACTCTAGATGCTGGCGAGAATGTGGAGAAACGGGCACCCTCCTACACTGTTGGTGGGAATGTAAACTGGTACAGCCCCTCTGGAAAACAGTGTGGAGGTTCCTCAGGAAACTAACAATAGAACTCCCCTATGACCCAGCAATAGCACTGCTAGGAATTTACCCAAGGGATACAGAAATGCTGAGGCATAGGAGCACATGTACCCCAATGTTCACAGCAGCACTCTCAACAATAGCTAAAACATGGAAAGAGCCTAAGTGTCCATCAACAGATGAATGGATCAAGAAGATGTGGTTTATATATACCATGGAATACTACATGGCAATGAGAAAGAATGAAATCTGGCCATGTGTAGCAACATGGATGGACCTTGAGGGTGTTATGCTGAGCGAAATAAGTCAGGCAGAGAAGGACAAATACCATTATGTTTGCACGTATAGGAGGATTAGGAGGAACTTGATGGAGGAACAAGGGGGAGAAGAAGGGGGGAAATGGTGGGGGAAAGGGAGAGAGGCAAACCATGAGAGACTCTTGAATGCTGACAAAAACTGAGGACTGATGGATGTGGGGGGGAGGAGGGATGGGCATGGAGGAGGGCACTTGTGGGGATGAGCACTGAGTGTTATGTGGAAACTAATTTGACAATAAACTATTTGTAAAAAAAAAAAAATTAAAATTAAAAAATTAAAAAAAAAGAAATAGGCATTCGTGATACATTAATATAAGATAGTAAGCTTCAAATAGGAGGCAGCATAGCATACCGATTCGAAGCCCAGGTGTTGAAAGAGTTCAACTCCCAGTTTCCGCACCTACGTGTGCAGGCAGGACGCTGGTGCCTCAACTTCTTCATATGTAAAAGGTCACAGAAACGTATAGGAATTAAGCAAGCCACCGTATATACAAAGCTTCAAAGAGGGACTAGTACAGGTTAAGTGCGCTCAACAAGAGTAACACCTGCTACTGCGCTTATCATTAGTTGCCCCATCAGGCAGTTTGAAACACTAAACTAAACATCTAAAGATACTCAGAATCTTGGGTGAGATATAGAATTTCTCATGTCCTCACTTTTTTTTACATCTATAAAGTTAAGTGCTGGAGTACAAATACATCTGAGATCATGAGCTACTATATATAAATATATAATTCTGTAATTTTTATATATATTCATATAACTAATTTTTTTTTCTCAAAATAATAGTGTCCTTACTATTACCAATGCATTCTGAATTTTCTAGTCGACTTTCCTTTAAAAAAACAAAAAAAGCTGGTTGCAATATACAAAACTAATTTTAAAAAACCAACAGCACTGGGGACTAAAATATCTCTGAGAAGCCTTCCAATACAAAGTACTTCTTTTCAAATTAGCTTTCAAAAGCAGTTTCACCTAAACTTCCTCAAACCCTACCAAAGGACTCAGTGAGTTTTAGGGACACAGTATTCTAATGGGTATTTGAATGCTGACAATAATCATAACTGAATCACATATACTTTTCAAATACTAATAAGCTTTGCCTTAGTTTTTCTTTTTTTTTTTTGTTTTTATTTATTCTTAGGAGAGAGAGAGACAGCGTGAGCAGGGGAGGGTCAGAGAGAGAGGGAGTCACAGACTGAAACAGCCTTCAGGCTCTGTGCTGGCAGTCAGCACAGAGCCCGACGCGGGGCTCGAACCCACGAACCGCGAGATCATGACCTAAGCGAAAGTCGGACGCTTAACCGACTAAGCCACCCAGGCGCCCCTGCCTTAGTTTTTCTTAACTGTAGTCTCTTTTGTGTCCAGAGTGACTCAGAAGACATCCTTTATCTTCAAACAACTGTAGAGTTTTTTTTTAAATTAAGGGCTTACTTTCCAGTGACATTCTGAGAATAGGATTTAGAAAATTATCTGGAACTTTTTAAGAGACAGACAATTTGCAATCTCCAGAAAACTCTGACATTCAACAAATGCTGCCTCATTGCTTTGCTCTTTGCTGACAAATCACATTAAAAATCAACATTTATCTAATTATTCTGGGACTCTTTTCAAATCCAATCCGTATTTTTAATCTAGTTTGCTAGGGATATTCCATAATCTGAAAATATCCTAAAATAAAGAGGAAAAAGATATGTGACTTCACGAATTCCATTCCAAGCCTCATTCCTTAACCTATGACCTTGGCTAGGTACTTCAGCTCTCTACCTCAGTTTCTTCATTTGTAAAATGGGAAAAAAAGGACTACCTACTTCATGGTTTCCTAACTCATGGTTTCATGAATTAATGTCTAATTACCCTAAATGGTGCCTAGCAGGGAAGCATCCAAATAAACCACAGCCAAGGTTATTCTCTTGTGTTACGTGAAATTATGGTGAAAAGATGGAAGTTCCTCACACAGTTCTAAAGTTTACCTAAAAGCTACAAGCAGAGTGGAGGGTTAGACTTTGGCCCCTACTATATGCTCCAAAATGCACGCCAGGGTTAACTGACAAAATGAAAAACAAGGGAAGGAACAAAGATGACACACAACGTAGGGATTTTTAAGTATCCATTCAGATGGCTTTTGACAATGGGGGAAAAGCAGGATGATTTCACCAGCAAGAACAATTACTTAATTTATTGGTACCCCTCATGAATCCCAGAAAGGATTGGAGATGGAATCACATCCTGTTTTATGGTATAATAGCACTGACAAATTATAAATGTAAAAATATCTAATTCCTTTTCTGTGTCCTAGTGAGGAAGAGAAGCAGAATCTATCTCATGAACAGAAATACTCAAAAAAAAAAAAAAAAACACCAGTTTATTCTACCATGGACTAAATATATACAAAGCCTAGGAAGGTAATCTGTGCAGAGTCCTTATCTACTAGTGGAAATCATATGTCATAAAAATACTCAAACACAGCATCTAACTTTTAAGGATAACAACTTGCTATTAGTGAGAAGTTATATTTTCATTATAAATGTCCTGGTATCAACATAAAGACATATCCTGAACCTCCAGCTAGGAAAATTTTCAACTTCTTGGTGGCAATTCGATAATCACCATTGTTCATTTATGATGTCACAATGGAAATGGGAAATGCTGTTGCTAAAAATCTAATTTTGTCTTTTCACTAAAACTAAGGTGCAGAGATGGGTCAGACCATCCTGGCCGGCTCCCTACTCTGGAAGATTATCTTCAGCCCATGTTTCTAAAGTCCATTTTAAGGGCAGTACGGAATCCCCACCTAGTACTATGTTTGTTCACGGATGAACTTCCCAGATAAAGCAAATGTACACAGTGAACCCCAACCTGGGAACATTCTCTCATTAAGAGGAAAAAAAAATCGATATCCATGTAAGTCCTTCCCCTGCAACTGTTTTCATTTATCGCTCATTTTAATTCAGAATACTTGTTGAAATATATTCTAAGTTTTAAAATTTTGTTTTAAATATTTCTCGCAAAGACCCATTTTACTAAAGATCTGTGTGTCTCTTTTTAAATATGCCTGGGAGGTTATTAGCATTGCAGAATGGCCTTCAAAATGCAAAGACTGCTTAGAGTTTTGGATCACACATTTTTGGTTTTTTTTACTCTCCTCCACGCCAAAACTGGGAGTACCCTGAAAAGCCAAAAAACATAATGTTCACCAAAAGTCATGGGCTTCACGTGAACGGATTACGAAGAGAATCTTGCCTTATCATCTCTTCCTCTTGCTCTACAATCCTTGTCTCTACTGGCAGAGGGTTTTTCACTCTTTGATATGGGATGTGCACGGCCCACAGGTCCCCGGGCTCCTGCTCCGGCCATTTCTTTCCTCAGAGGTCTTACTTCTCGATTGGGACGCCTTATCTGAGGTGGAGCTCTGACAGGAAAAAATTAAAATGAAAATTAATCAAAGGCAAAAGTAGTTCGGTACTCTCTTAGTCAGTAAAACTATTAAACCAAGAAGCCCCAAACCTCACCTGTTCCCCTTTTCCAATTCATGGCTATAACTATTAGATCGGTTCTTAAAAGTACTTTTCTGGGGGTAAAAATGTGCTTTTCTATAAAATATACTAGTTGACACAGTTTTTAAATACATATAAATGATATGCAGAACAGCAATTACTTTGTCAAAAATAACTATTAATCACCAATAGAGGGCAATACAGACTATTTCCATCTAATAATCGTAATAGTGTAATGGAAAGTCAATGACTTTTATTCATTAATGTCCTAAACCCAAACTCAGTCACTTTAAAAAAACAAAAGCATTTGAAACTAATATAACATTGTATGTCAATGATACTTCAGTTTTTACAAAAGCATTAAAAGCTGAAAGGACAGGAATTCAAAATACATCTATCTGGGGCGCCTGGGTGGCTTAGTCGGTTAAGCATCCGACTTTCGCTTAGGTCATGATCTCGCGGTTCGTGGGTTCGAGCCCCGCGTCGGGCTCTGTGCTGACTGCCAGCTCAGAGCCTGGAGCCTGTTTCAGAGTCTGTATCTCCCTCTTTCTCTGAACCCTCCCCTGTTAACGCTGTCTCTCTGTATCCTAGAAATAAATATATTTTAAAAAAAAATACATCTATCTGCACAGTTTACCTAATTTATTGATTACAATCCAAATCACTTCCTCTGCTTCTGTACATTTCTGTGAATGAAAATCCAACATTTCATTCACATTACAAGCAGGAGGGCTAAACAATGAAATCTTTTCATATACAAATTAATTTGTGTGTGAAAAAGTTATTTGTGCGTTGAAGGTGTCAAAAATCACAGAATCATTCAAATTACACCGCCCCCCAAATGTGAATGACAAACTTTGAGAACCATGGATGGTGAAGGATGTTAGCTAAACGTGTGGTGACCATTTCACAATGGTCATCATTCTGTACACCTGAAACTAATGTTGTATGTCAATTATAACTCAATTTTCTAAAAGTTTTGACAACTATATAAAGGTAACCATGTACACATAGTGACACATTTTGTTTCATGTAATGTGAAACGTGTCCTCTTCAAATAGACAAATTCTAAGGTTTCTTAACACAGTATTTAGCATCTCTCTTTGGGTGTTGGGGAGACTATCTACTCTGTGCCTAACCTCTTAGTTCTTCCTTGGACCGTCTCTGCCTCTGTTCTCCTATCTTTTCTCTCTCTACTGCTCTGCCTTTACTTGTAGCCTTTCAGATCCCATGAGTACTGCTTTTTCTTTTTTTTTTTTTTTTTACCCATATGCCATATCTATTATTATCCCTTTTCCAACTTCATGCTTTCAATTCATCCATCTCCTCATGGAGCCTCTCTTCCTGATATCAGAAGTGACACATATATATATAACTCAGAACCCACCAAAACAGGAAAACAGATGAAAAGTCAGGAAGGATGCAAACTCAAGGCAACAGAGTTTAAAAAAAAAAAAAAAAAACTGTTGTACAACACCTTCAGACTGTTGGAATGAGACCATGACATGAAACTGCTAAGGATAAGAGAAGCTAAGAAAAGTGTGTATCTATTAGGTTACTGCACACTGACTTCTGAATCTTTGGAGTTGAGTCCAGCCCAACAATTATTTATTGACCACCTATTAGGAGATATACAGCCACTAGTGTGCTAGGCCCCAGGAGGAGATAAAGATGCATAAGCAATCTTGTGAAAAAAATCACAGGGAAGGAACTGGAAAACAGTGTTTAGTAAAATGGTTATAAGGCATTCTCAACTATAAAGATATGACTGTATTATTAGTACAGTGCATGCTTAGTCTTTTAAGCATCTGCCAATAAAACAAAATTGTGATGAGACTGATGGAAGAAAACTAAAAATGTTACCATCTCTACTAGTATTTCACTGCAACAACTATCTTTTGACTAAACGTGTGTTCTGTTTTGCTGAAGGAGTGGAAAGCAGTAGTGCAGGACTTTACTTTTTATGTTCACATATTTGTGTGTGTGTACACGTTTCCCCCGAATCAGACTCGTGGGTGAGGCCGCAGACAATAAAATGAGAGCAGCAATCTCTTACACACACAACATACATCAAGTGTGCCCTTCTGGTAGCAGCTGCACCTACTATTTAAATAATCTGTCACTGTCTGTGGGCCTGCGTTTTGGACGCACAGCCAGCCTGAAGCTGGTGCTCACCAAGAGCAAGCCCGCCCCTCACAGCCGCACGCCTGGATGCTGTCAGCGGCTGGGCCAGCCCCGCGAGGCCTCGCTGCTTAGGGCTGGACAGGAGAGAATCCTGAAACACCGCTTCTGCCATCTCAGCTTGTGCTTTCTTTCCCCACCTCAGCTTGCTCTTTAACTGCCGCTCAGGGGTCCTGCTGCAGGCCATTTTGCACGCACATCCAGCTCAGGAAAGCAGTGCTGTGAGGAGAATTTTCAAAGCTCTTGCACAGGCTGCATTCCCATGTTTGCTGCCACTCAATATTCTGAGGGGTTTATAAATGGTCTGAATGAAACCGCTCAAGAAGCCAGATGTGCCGTCTGCGGCAAGACCCGCGTCTCACAGAGTGCGTGCCTGTGCTCCGAGAAAGCCTTCGGTTCCATCTCACTGCAGTTGGATATTACGTCTGTAACAGACTCTGTCAACTTCTCAAAGGACATCCTTGAGTCCGTTCTGCACCTCCTCCATTAGCGCACCAGTGCACAATGTCGTGCTTCAGTATAAGGATTCAGTGACAGCTCCCAGGCTGAGTGAAAAATAAGTCTCAGGGCTTCTTTTACTGGCTTTTTTAAAAAGAGACTTCTAGGGGCATCTGGGTGGCTACACAGGTTTAAGTATCTGATTTCAGCACAGGTCATCTTGCAGTTTGTGAGTTCGAGCCCCACCTCGGGCTCTGTGCTGATAGCTGAGCCTGGAGCCTGCTTCAGATTCTGTGTCCTCCTCTCTCTCTGCCCCTCCCCACTCATACTCTGTCTCTCTCTCTCTCTCTCTCAAAATAAACATTAAAATTTATAAATAAATAAATAAATAAAGACTGGAAGTCTTTAACCCTACTGAAGTAGGGTTACAAAGCACCACCAACCTCTGCCCTGCTGGTCAAAGAGAAGACGACACTGTACCAGTCTATGGTATTCCAACTATAGAGAATATCTAGTAGATCTGCAGATATAAGACTAGAAGGTCTATGCTGTGCTCATTTCTCCTAGATTTCCCTCTAGGAATGGAAAGAAATGTGCTTTTTTTCTGTCACATGCAAATAAGCCTAACTTCTTCCAAAAATCCAGTATTTTCTCTTTCTAAGCTATATTAAATATCAATATTATATGTAAATGTTTTTACCAGAACTAGTTGTAATAGCAAACACCTGAAAACAACCTAAATGTCCATTATGAAAACAAATACATACATTACTATATATTCACATAATGATACAATTCACAATATACACATGAACATGAACTATAATTACATGGAACAACACTGGATGAATCTCAGGACAATTATGTTGAGTGAAAAAGTAAGTTCAAAAGACACATACCATAAGCAACATAGGATACTGTTTGGGGACACAAATATATGTACTAAAAGTAAGGAAAGGCAAGGGAATGATAAATCCCAAGTTCAGGACTCTGAACTAGAAGGGAGGAGAATAGAATGCAGAGGAGCCCATAGGGAATCTTCAAAAGTCATCGTACAGTTCTTTATCTTAAACACTTTGGTGGGTCCATAGAAGCTATTGCGTTGTGATGCCTTATACCATACACAATTTAAATTATTTACATTATCTACTGAGTAGATAAAACTTTAAATCTGATTATACTATAACACTAAGTAAAAGATCTAGACACCTAAAAAGTGAAATGATAGAACTGCTACAAAGTTTTTGGCATGTTCCAGAAATACACATGTGCTAGTGACATGGGCTCAGAGTTCACATCCTCGGTTGAACCTACAAGACTACTGCCTGGCAAATCTCTAGAAAACATCAGGCAACAGAAAGAGGTCTGCATTATAGCACCATACTTCCATGGTTCCAGAAGTCAAGGGAAAGAAACCCTCTTTCAAATATGTCCTTGATTCTACACCATCTTAAGTAACAGGGTTTATAATACTATCACAATGTTCTCCAACTATTATACAGTCTCCTTAAGATTCCTAGCCATTGACCTCTATTTCGTCTAGCATTTTGTTTAATGATTATTCTAAATTTTTTTTTGTTCATACATTGTTAGAATTCTGGTATAAGAATAAGCAATTTAGAACAGGTCCTATATATGGCCAAGAACATAAGCCAGATTACTTAAAGTTAACTTCTAGAAAAGAAAAAAAAAAATAATCTTTTTTTTTTTTTTTTAAATGTTTTATTTATTTCTAGGAGAGAGAGAGAGAGACAGCGTGAGCAGGAGAGGGTCAGAGAGAGAGGGAGTCACAGACTCTGAAACAGGCTCCAGGCTCTGAGCTGGCAGTCAGCACAGAGCCCGACGCGGGGCTCGAACCCACGAACCGCGAGATCATGACCTAAGCGAAAGTCGGACGCTCAACCGACTAAGTCACCCAGGCGCCCCGAAAAAAAAATAATCTTATTTTGCTATTATATTAATTTATAAAACTCCAGAATTAAATAAACAGAAAAACAACTCTATCTCTAATAAAAAGATAAGAAACATAAGTTCAAAGTAGTTCATACTGATATTTTTGCTATAAGAATTTGGGAGTCAACATATGAGACTTCTGAGTACAGGCAAAAGTATTTAAGAAAGCAGGAGCAGGGGCGCCTGGGTGGCTTAGTCGGTTAAGCGTCCGACTTTCACTTAGGTCATGATCTCGCGGTTCGTGGGTTCGAGCCCCGCGTCGGGCTCTGTGCTGACTGCCAGCTCAGAGCCTGGAGCCTGTTTCAGTCTGTGACTCCCTCTCTCTCTGACCCTCCCCTGCTCA